CCTGATTTTATTAAATGTTTTTTCATTCTGGAAATATATCAAGCCTCATTTTCATCTGAGCCTTGGCATTTCTCCATTCTTCTTGTTTTATCTGAGCTCTGTCACCATTATTACATCTGCTACCAATGGCTGAGGACCTCATGGGGGAGGGCAGGAAACTAGCACATCACCACATACAACCCTTTTCCATCTTAAGCCTGAAGCCCTCTTTCCCCTCTGGCTTTTCATCAAATGATCTTTTAAAAGTGAATCTTTGGTCTAAGCAGTTGCTTATAGTTTGTTCTTCCTATTCTTTAAAAAAAAAAAAAAATTACTCTTAAAGATATGTTGTTTCTGGGTTAAACACAAAAGTTGTCCTGGCCTGGTTACTGACATGCAGTGCTATGTCCTGCATGGGATATTGCAATGGGGTATCCTCCTGTTGTAGAATTATGTCCTCTAGATATGCCATGTCCATTGGTTTTTTTTTTTTTTTTTTTTAAATCAGAGCAGCTATAATACCCACACAAGATTGGACCATTAACATGGATGATGGGCGGGTTCATCCAGCTGCCCCCTCCTCAAGACTACATAAGCAGTTACGATTGCTGGAGTAAGTGGGCAGCTAGCTCTACTGCAAGCAAGCCTAAGATTCTCATTGGTTTGTCGTCATCTGGAATGAGTAGTAGACTACTCAAAAAGTCACACATACTTGGTGCCCCAAGTATACGTAGACATGACAGAACCAAATATGAGCCTAAGAGAGCATCTGCAGCTGAGACTGAGCCACCTAAGGGTGAAGATTAGTCCCTGTGTGGCAGACTTCCCCTATTGGTATATAGAAGTTCTTGTTATAGTTACTGTGAGACATGTAGCTGAGGCTGAGCTGACTGACCAAAAAGAACTAGTGCCTGCATAAGGAAGAAGTCACGGTGGGTAAGTGTGTCAGTCTCGGGAAAGGTAAAGAAGGGAATGAAGGAGAAGTGATAGATAATACCTTCTGTGCTCTTAACCACTGAGCCATCTCTCCAGCCTTAACCACTGAGCCATCTCTCCATCCCCAGGATTTTTTTTTCTTTTCTTTTTTAAACTGAAAGGGTTTTTTTTAAGATTATTTGTTTATTTGTTTAATGTATATAAGCACACTGTCCTTGAAACACCAGAAAAGGGCATCAGATCCAATTACAGATGGTTGTGACCCACCATGTGGTTGCTGGGAATTGAACTCATGACCTTTGGAAGAACAGCCAGTGCTCTTAACCGTTGAGCCATCTCTCCAGGCCCTGGGATTTTTTTCCTTAATTAAATCATTTGAAATGGTAAAATCCACTTCTAATCCAGATTTTTGAGGTTGGAAGGTCCATCTTTAATCTGGAACATGCCTTCTGCTGGTATCCTATATAAACAACATGAAAGAAGGAAGCTTGCTCTCTTTGCCTGTTTGCTCTCCAGCAAATTCATTCCTTCACTGGCATTACGGCCTACTTCTTCAGGATTCCAGCATATACTGAAGACCAGCTGAGACATCCAGCCTTGTGGACTGAACAACTACTGGATTCTTGGACCTTCTGATGGTAGACAGCCATTGTTAGATTAGCTGGACCATGGCCTGTAAACCATTCTAATACCTGCCCCTCTCCCTGGTCATGTGATCCTCTAGAGGACCCTGACTAATATAGCAAGACTGCTGTAGAGGTAGAGTTTTAAGTAAAAACTGCCAAGTTAGAGCTCACAGGGCTCTAGAAGACATTAAAGCTTGGGCAACAGCTCTCAAAAGACATAGCTGGGCAGCACAGATGAAGATTACTCCTGTCTCCTCTCTCCTATCCCCAAAGTAAGTTGTGTACATTTGTTTCCTATAAGAACATATATTGGATATGGAGATATTTGCCCCGCCCTGAGTAGCCAGGTATGGCTCAGGAAAGGTAGAAGCCACTGGGGTGCTGGCTGAAAGTGTGATAGGCCTGGGGAGCCAGATGGAGTAGCTGGTATAACAGATGAGCATGGCCCTGCTCCCCTTGGTCCTTTGAGCTCACTGTTTTGGAAAGAGGTGTGTTGGGCCCAGGATGGGGAGACATGAAGGCTTATGGATGGCAGAGAGCTAGATACCACAGTGCCTTCCGCAGCACCACTGTATAACCTTGCTTCTTTGAGGAAGTTGTACAAACTCTGGAACCCTTTCATGCTGTTTTGTACTAGCTAGGTTTTTTAGTATCCTTAGCTGCTGAATCCCTAGTCCAGTTGGTAATGTTTGGAACAGATGGTGGTGGGCCTTCAGAGAACCTGCCCACTCTATAAAAAGGATCTACCACATAATGTTAATTTCTGAGATGTTTACAGATTTAGAAATGTATCTGAAAGACATGAAAATGTACTTAGAGTAGCACGCATGGGAAATCAGCCCATGCAGGGGCCAGGGGCAGGGGACAGCTCTGAATAGTTTGGAGAATTTTGTACTTAGGTAAGGCACAAGTGCCACCTAACAAGGTGACTGAGAACTTCCTATAACAGCCTATGTCTATATATAAAAAAAAATCCAAAACTAGAGTAACACAGTAACACCAGGCATGATGCTGCATACCTGTAATCCCAGCATTTGAGAGGCAGAGGCAAGGAGATCTCTGAGTTTGAAGCCAGCCTGGTCTACAGAGTGAATTCCAGGCTAATACATAGTAAGACCCTGTCTCAAACAAACAAACCCCCCAAATACAGGAGTGTCAACTCAGAAGGCACCTTCATGAGTAGGAGAAGGCACACCCAGAAGACATAAGGTTGTTGAATGAGAATTCTAGGTGGGGGGGGGTACCTCCCTAAGTTGTATATGGGAGAGGTTCCTTAGGTACACACACAATATACACAGGTCCCACTGCTGTTGGCTGCATGCCAGAACCAGAACTGGCAGCTCCTTCCCTACTAGCTGATGCTGGCTGGTTGAGAGCACTGTGCAGGCTGCAAGGGGAGACTTCTCACCAATGATCCTGCTCAGCCACGGAGCTCATGTCTTACTGTCAGCATTCCATCCATGCAAAGTCTGCATAGGCGCAATAGTGGCATGATACATGGGTACAAAACAACTGTGTTCCATTTGGATTTATGACCCACTCCACAGTGGGATCCCATGCCAGGACAGAATCTGTGTTAAAGGAGGTCAAAGGTTTTAGTGGAGAAGCTATTGTTCTCTTGTTAAATGAATATTATTCGACTAATTGACTAACAAAATATGTTCGCTCTCTCTGGGTCTTTCATTCTTGCTCTTTCTCTTTCTCAAGTCCTTTTTTTTTTTTTTTTTTTTTTTTTTTTTTTGGACAGTATTTCTAACCCAGGCTTGTCTTAAATTCACTATATGGCTGAAGATTCACTATATGACCTTGAACTGATTTTCCTGGGATTACAGGTGTGCGCCTGTCTTAGGGTTTTACTGCTGTGAAGAGACACCATGACTAAGGCAACTCTTACAAAGACAACATTTAATTGGGGCTGGCTTACAGGTTCAGAGGTTCAGTCCATTATCATCAAGGCAGGAACATGGCAGCATCTAGACAGCCATTGTGTAGGAAGAACTGAGAGTTCTACATCTTATTCTGAAGGCAAACAGAAGACTGGCTTCCAGGCCGCTAGGAAGAGGGTCTTAAAGCCCATGCCCACAGTGACACACCTACTCCAAGGCCACACCTCCAAGTAGTGCCACTCTTGGGGCCAAACATATTTAAACCACTACAGTGCCCCAGTCTGCTTTTCAAATTGGTTTCTTATGTTTGTGCTTATGCCCAGAGGTTTTTGCTGTGATTGGCCTTAGTCAGCAATACTTCTTTTTCTATTAAAGAGTGGTGGCTACTGTAGAGACGCACCTGATCAAACTCCTGGGAACAAGTGGATATTGAGTTGTAGCAGCCACTGCTTGGTCCTGAATGCATGAAAATAACTATGCCTCTCTAGCAGTCACCCTCACCAGGACACAAGGAGCACTGTAAAAGAGGCAGAGGACACGGCATGGCGCATGAGTCCTTCACAACACTGGCTCAATAATAATTCCTGCAAGGCTGCTGTCCTCCCTGGGAATGCATATAAGTAGTTAGCAATTGCTAGAGGGAAGGCAAGACTCCTTCTGAAGATTGCCCATGTTCCATAAGTACTCCTAATTAAGTCCATAGGCCATTATGTTAGACTTGGACAGAAGTATTTCTTTGGTCTGTTGTTGCCCTACCTGAGGTAAGTAGAAATAAACTCCCCAGGAGAAGTCACCCTGTATCCTAAAAAGCCTATGTGTCAAATGCCAGTGCCCCTGAGTCTTGCTATTGGGTGGCAGAGCTGCATGGGAGATCTTCAGGTCATTGAGAATGTGCTATCAAAGTAGATTCTGAGTCCCCCCGACCCCCATCCTTCTTCTTCAGCTCACTTTTTGGCTGTGAAGTGGGTCATTTTGCTCAAATTGTGTGCGCCTGCCATGATGGTACCAACTGATCACAGACTGGACCCTGTGCAACTAAAATCCAGAATAAACTCTCCATAAGGTGATTGCCAGTGATGTCTGTTACAGTGATGGGAAGCTAACACACATGGGAACATGGGAGTTCTAGGAGCACTCTCCACACAGCCACCTCCACAGTCTTAGCAGCAGCCTCTGCTTCCTGTTGCTGTGTCTAGTGCAAGGGCCGTGTACCTGGGTAACCAGTCCCTGATTTGATCCGGATCAAGTTCTGAGCTAAAGGGCACTGTGGCCTCTGCTTTCAAGAGCAACCCAGGCCTCAGTGCTGTAGTGGGGAGCATCAGTTCCTTAATTCCCTGGTCCTCATCATCCATAGTTGGGAAAGATAATGCATGCAGCTCATGACAGCCACGGCCAGCGGAAGAGCACTAGCATGAGGTTAGTGGTCTGTCATAACCACACCTCTGGCTGATGCCAGCCCCCTAGACATGTTTGTGTGGATGTTTCAGGATCTGCTCATACATGATCTCTCTCTAGGAGAATACTGACATCAGACCTTTATTTTTCTCTGTATTGAGAGTTATTACCAACAGTGTTGAGATAGGGGTGAATGAAAGAAATCCCAGGTCTCTCGGGGAAATCCATGCTCTAGAGGCGATCTCTGGCTGACACCTAGTCTATAATGTCTCCACATTCCAGGTTGTCCAGTTCACTCTGCATGTGGTCGACGAATTGATTGATCTCCTTCACTCGCTTACGGTTCCTCATGATCTCATCTTTGTGAATCTGGGGAATGAAAGGAAAGCCAGGGCACAGTGTCTATGATAGCTAATGTCATTTACCGAGGCCCAGGAGAGGGAGGGAAGATGTTTAACCTGAGAGCCCCACCCACAACATGCACTGCTGGTCTCTCTGAGGCAGGAGTTACACATACAATGAGGTATGACTGGGCCTCAGAATTCTACAACCCTTACCTCTTTTTCTTTTCTCTACTTTGTTTCTCAGGGAAAATAGCACACTCTGATTGGTGAAAACTCAAGCCAGCTGGGCGGGCGGCTCGGTGTTCGTTGCTCACCTTGTCTACTAGATGTGCACACCAAGAGTTGATTCCAGTCACCAGCTCATCTTCTCGGTTGTCAATCTTCAGGAGGTGGATGTCATGTGATGCCCCAACAGCATTAACAATTGTATCTTTGTCAACAAAAAGCTGGAAAGTGAGAATGTCCAAATGAGATCATGTGTGTTATTATGGCCCGAGCACAAAGAGGCCCCTGGGAGTTCCCAGGCTGTGGGACACACCTAGTAGAGAACCCATACTGTATCAGTCACTTTGTGCCAGCTCATCCTCAGGCAACAGCCTGTTCCCCAGCCTGAGCTGTGACAGGTGTCATGCTGCAGTCCTCATTAAAAGTATGTTTTCTCCTGGGAGATGGCAGGTGGCTAGCCAAGGAAGCCTTACTGGGGATATCAGTTCTCACAAAGCCTCTTTCTAGGTAGTCCTGAACCTCTGCCAGTCAGGTCTGACTGAGGGTCTCCAGGCTGTTCCAACCCTGGGCCCTGTAAGCTGATAGGTATCCATCTCCTATATGTCTTCCGCTGCTTCTCACATAAACAGAATCAAGCTTTGGTTCCACTGGGGTCTGCTTTGCCTTGGCTTGTTCCTGGCACTGTTTGGTCCTTATAGAGAGCTAGTACAACTCTTCACCTTCTAGTGAGCCTGGCAGGCTCTAGATGCAGGCTCTGGCTGGAATGGGGGAAATCCAGCACAATCATTCCCAGGGGCAGGGGAAGCTTGTTTGAGGGTCTGATGAAGCAGTGCTCCACTCTGAGCCCAAGGTACTTGGAAACACAAGAATGGCAAAAGACCTGGGTGTCTTCTGTTGAGAAACTGCAGATAGAGCGTACATAGGGGAGCATGACTTATCTGAGGTACACAGGGTTTCAGGTTTTGTAAGATTTGACTTTGGAATATCTGCATTATCTTTTTATAACATGACCACAAAACAGAAAAATCTGAAATCCCAATGCACTCAAATCTATTTGGATTTTTGGGTCAGAGAGAGAGAGAATGAGAGAGAGAGAGAGAGAGAGAGAGAGAGAGAGAGAGAGAGAGAGAGAGAGAGAGAACACGAGAGAGAACGGTACTTTCTTTGTTTTGCTTCTTTTTTTTTTATAGTATCAGTTAGCCTAATAATTTCTAAAAATATGTTCTGTCTGATCCTGAAATGTTAGTGTTCCTACATAAGGAAATATTCTTTGATCAAATACCTCCAGGCTCCCAAAGTAAGATTCACGGGGCACAGAGTGTCCTGAATGCTGTACAATGTTCTCTGGGAAACAACCTGCTTGGTTTTCTCTCTCTTGCCTTCTTTCTTTTCAGCTTACTGACCACAGACTCTGGTGCAGAACAATGTCTGTGGGATGTTAGTTTGCCACAGAATGCCATGTGAGAAATGCCAGGTTATCTGATGTGGGACAACGGATCAGCACAGTCACACCATAGAAACGACAGGAAGCCATTCAATTCCTTCTAACTGCAGGCAGCAGGCCCAGGCTCTGGGAAGGATCAGAAGATGAAAACTGCACTGGGTACTCAGGAGTAAGTGTCCTGAGGTCTAGTAACAGGCTTCTTTTATTTTTGTACCTTTATCTTTAAAGTATATTTAAACAAGACCCAAAGATAATATGGATTTTTCCCATAAACTCTGCTTGCTTATTACAGTGTTATATAGTAAATAACATTCCATTATATACAAATTAAGAGTATGCATAACTGAACACTATTTCATAATATGGTGCACAGGCTTGAAACTATGCAATATTTAATCTTCAAGTAGCTCAGGAAAGAACAAACTTTATCATTAAGACTATCACTTTAAAAGGGCCTCACCTTAAGTCTCTGCTAGGGTGTTTCACTGAAACCATTCTTTGTTCAAGGAAGAATGCCAGATGCTGGGATGAGAACACATCCACTTAGGCTAATGAATAAAACACTGTGACTAAATGGCCACAATCAAGGTCAGGTCATTTAAAAAAGCAGACTCACTCTTCAGTTTGGACACATTGTATCAACCAGAGCTGGAACCTCAATGAAATAAACATTTCCTGCAACTTTGAATTTCATTTTTTTTTTTTTTGGTTTTTCGAGACAGGGTTTCTCTGTATAGTCCTGGCTGTCTGTCCTGGAACTCACTTTGTAGACCAGGCTGGCCTCGAACTCAGAAATCCGCCTGCCTCTGCCCTGCCTCCCAAGTGCTGGGATTAAAGGTATGCACCATCACTGCCTGGCTTGATTTTCTTGAAAATGGTTACAGAACACTGTTTGTAAAGATGACAGGACTATTCCAGGTCATAGGTTATGCCTGTGATGCTATCCCATCAGGGAGAAGCACTGACACTGCACATGCATACATGCCCACACATGCTCTCACTCACCATCAAAGACTTGAGTATCATCCAGCACTAAGTATATAAGCACTTAAGTCCCAACCAGTGCTCCAGGTTGCAATAGCGATTACAGAACAAGGAAGATAAAACCCCCACTTTCAGGTTCTGAAATGTCTCTTGGATACTTCATACTCAGCTTGGAGGTTAGTTCACTGGGTTCTTCAAGCAGCAAGCCCCATCTTCAGTTGCTGACTGTCCTGCCACAGCCCCAGAAGAGAAGAGTCTTGAAATGTCTTGGCTTTCCTGTCCTGGGCTGACAGGATAGTCTCTGCCTCCTGAGTGCTGGGATTAAAGACATGTGCCACTATGGCTTGGTTTCCCATGAAGTTTTGAAAGCAGTAATCTATTCCATCTTGCTAGTGAGTCTAAAACTTTCTTAGCAGAGAGGCAGAGCCCCATGACCTAGTGCCATGGGTGCCCCCAAAGTGCTTGCCAGCTATGGTGACTAGGGAAGGCTGCAGTGCTCACTACAGTCACAGGCCCAGCACTGTTCATCAGACAAGACTCAATTCAGACTCTTGTACCATCCCCAACTCGTATCCATGAACCTCCCTTGCCCAGTGTTCTCATCCATAATCTCACATGATAATGGTGCTTTTTTTGGTGAGGAAATGAGGTAACATGTGGTCAACAGGCTGGAGAGTGGTAATCCTCTAATGAAGAAACTTTGTTCCCAGATACTACAGTACCAGACAGGGCCACTTGGGTGAGAGGGAATGCTAGCCTGCCTCTCTGTTAATGACCTCTGGGGCCCAGATTTTACTGTGTGTTATAGCCCCTAGGGAACAAGCATGTTTCAGTGATGTTTTTCATAGTGTGTCACAGACCTAGGGACTCTATCATCCCATGAGGACTGTCAGAAACTTCAGAACCTCTCAGACGAGACTAGCTTCTTGGTTAGGGCAGGGTAGCGTTTCCTGTGTGCTAAACAGTGAGCTGTATAAGTAGCTTAGGGAGAGCAGGTTGATGTGACTGTGACCCTGCATCTTGCTGTTATGTTGGGTGTTGGTCCTAGTCTCAGAACAGAGGTTATGGAGTCAAGACTGCTGGCCTTCTATCCGCATAGGTCAGCCCAGCTCCTGGGAAAGTAAATATTTAGTGAATACATGTTTTCATCCACCCAGTTCCAAGATCACCCCTGGCTGTTGTGCTGGAGGCTCCTGCTAGTGCAAACAGGAGGTCCATGGTGATGAAAAGGCTACCTCTGCCCTCCCTCACAGTTTATGTACAGTATGAATAGTTGTAGAAACAAATTAACATGAAGCAGGGTTTAGAACTATGATGAGCTTCTGGCCTGACCGATGGGGTCTGACAGAGAGACGGTTGTTTAAGAGGTACTAAGGGAGGGCCTTTCAGGAGAGCTAACACGTGAGTGGAGATCTGAATGGCAAGGACAAGAAAAGCACAGAGACTGAGGAATGAACATGTCTGCCAGACAGATTGTGTACTGGCTAGTTTTATGTCAACTTGACACAAGCTGGAGTCTTCAGACAGGAGGGCACATCATCTGAGAAAAATGTCTCCATGAGATCCAGCTGTTGGGAATTTTCTCAATTAGTGATCAATGTGGGAGGGAGGGCCCAGCCCATTGGGAGTGGTGCCACCCCTGGGCTAGTGGTCCTGGTTTCTATAACAAAGCAGGTTGAGCAAACTATGAGGAGCAAGCCAGTAAGCAGCACCCCTCCATGGCCTCTGCATCAACTCCTGCCACTAGGTTCCTGCCTTGATTTCCCTCAGTGATGGGCTGTCACCTGGAAGTATATGCCAAATGAACCCTTTCCTCCCCAAGTTGCCTTGGTCATGCTGCTTCATCACAGCAATAGAAATCGTAAGACAGAATGTCAGTTAAAAGGAGGACGCCTGATGGATGGGCATCAGAACCTGGGGTGGGGCTGCCAATGGAGGCAGGCCTAGACCAGAGTGTCTGAGACATAAGGGAAGGAACGCTAAGATCATGGTGGGCTGGGAGAGGTGAGAGTTGTATAGTCTGGGTTTCTAGTAGAACTACCTGTCTGCATACGGAGAACCGTCTATAAGAAGGCAGCAAGGAGTCAGCAGGCAGGCAAAGGGCAACTGGAACATGGCCTGATGGCAGTACAGTGATGTAGAGCAGCTAAGAAACTAAGTCGGGTACGAACAGAAGCAGTTTCCTGAGGGCAAGTATTGGACCTGTGCCCATTCATGCCTGCCTGAAGCCCTTTCCTAAGACATCCATGTGCTGCCTCTGCTGCCTCTGCTGCTGCTGCTGCTGCTGCTGCTGCTGCTGCTGCTGCTGCTGCTGCTGCTGCAGACTCATAGATGCCTCCTTAGGTGTAGACATGTATCCCTAGTATGTATTACTATCTGCCCTAGTGGAAACTGGGGCAGCCTGGTGCCTGACCAGACATGAGGCTTGTGGGTATACCAGTGTTGCAGCTCTCCACCATTAAGATCCCTGAGGGAAATTTCTGGCTGTTACCTCTGTCTGTAACTGTGCCAGAAGACTCCATAGACAGAAACTCGGGATAACCACCTGACCATCCTGACACCAACTGTAAGCACCTTCCTCAGCAGTCAATATTCCTGCAAAGCAGGCTACTGTCTCCTTGACATGAGGAAACAAAACCTCTAGGAGTTTGTCATGATTAGACAAGCCATGAGTAGGGCTGGATTTCACTTATCTATTTGCTGCTCCCCCAAAATGTTCACCATGCCGCAGCCCCTCTACCCCTACTCACCGCCCGCACATCATCGGGTAAGTCCTCATCCATCTCACCCTTGAGGATCTTCTCCAGGGTGTTGATGGCGATCTCCAGGAGCTTCTCATGGTGATGGTTTTCCAAGTCCCGGCACTGAGCGATCCTGCAGTTATGAGTTAAAGCCAGGGGCAGGGCAAGCCAGGTGGCTGGGCCTCTGATGAACAAGGCCATGTCATCCCTACTAGATAGAGAGTCCAGTCTCTAAGCCTTAGAGTCTAAGGGTTCGAGACCTGCCCTGAGGTGCTAAGAGTCATCATAGCCACTGAGCTGTCACCCACATGCATTGTCAGGTCCCCATATCATTCCTGTCCTTATACTGGGTCATTACTGTCCCCCAGTGCCAGCTCACCTCAGGTCCTCAGTCTGTTTCCCCATCCCCATGGCTTCCCAACATTGCTGAAGAACTCCCTGGTCTCCCATAATCTCTTACTCCTTCTCCTGTAGCACCTGGAATAAGCTTGAGGATTTGTGTAGCCAGTTCCAAGCTTAAAGCTCCTGGGAGCTTCCAATCTCTGACATGGCCTGATGGTCTCATCTGATAACCTGTTCTCTTGGACCCATTCTTGGGGCCTTTGCACCACATACTGCTTCTGCTGTCTGGACTGTCTCCTTTGACTTGGTTCCTGTGGCTACCTGCAGGACTCACACTCTCTCTCTCTCTCTCTCTCTCTCTCTCTCTCTGTGTGTGTGTGTGTGTGTGTGTGTGTGTGTGTGTGTTTAGGGAGGACATTGACCCTGTACCTTGCACACCACTTGCTACCTCAATGACCGTGTGCTGGACTCTGAGCCCCAGGATGCTAGAACTTGAGTTCCTTCTGGGTGGTGCTTAGCACTTTGCCTTCAATAAAGAAATGTTCATGTTTCAAATGTTGGTTTCTAACCTTAACTATTAGCCTTGCTCCTTTTAACCTGTCCTGTCATCAGTGTGGGTGTGGGCTCATCCCAGGGTGTTTTCCTGTAATAAAAGGTCAGGCAGTGATTCTGAGATGTCAGTGCCCCCATGAACATCACCCACTTAGGAATACATGCAGTCCCTCTGTGCATCCAAACTGGCATTCCAGCAAGGCCACCAATGTTGAGTGTTGAGAACAACACTTCAGTTGCTGTGGAGCATCCTCTGTAGTCTACCAAATCTACATCTTTCCTCCCTCCTTGGTGGAAAGTGGTAGATTTTATATTCCTCTACTTTCAAAAAGGAGATGCCTACAAACTAGGGCCCGCGGAAAGTGTAAACACTTTCTTGGGGTGAGACTGTAGGTTTTTCTGCAAATCAATGGAGGATGAATATTTTGGGTAAGAACTGAAGTAGTATCTAAAGTGCTTAGTTTACTCTGTAGTACAAGCAAAAGGGGGTGTGGCCCTGCAGCCACCACTTCTTTGCCCAAGACTACTCTCTATTTGCCCTTTCTTTCAGTCCTGGGGATTGAACCCAGGGCCTCAGTTATGCTAAGCAAGCTCTCCACTGGGCTATCCCTTGCTTTTTATTAAAAGCCTAGGCCCCTCTGCTTTAGCTGCTCTAGAGGCCGAGACAAACTCAAGAGCCTATGGTGCCTTCCCATGGGTAAGGTAGGGTTGTCACAGAAAGGATATAGACTTTGGACATTTTCAATAAATAGTCCCACCAAGTCAGTGATGTTTCTTTCAAATACGTTTATGGTCTCCTAGAAATGATATAAAAGATAGTCAATGTATGTACCAACATCCTTTGCACCACCTCAAACCAAAGACTCTTAAAGGCAAATACCACCCTCCTTGACTGGCAGACGGCTAAGGATTGACACTCTTCCCCTACCCCCACCCCGGCTTCCAGAGCTCTGTTGCTTTCCAGTGTCAGATCACCACTCCCTTGAATGTTCATGCTGTCACTGTTTTTTTTTTAAAGATTTACTTATTGTATGTATATGAATATTTTGCCTACATGTATGTGCACCATGTGCCTTCCTGGTGCCTACAGAAGTCAGAAAGAGGCATTGGATCCTCTAGAACTGGAGTTACAAACTGTTGAGAGCTGCCATGAGGCTTCTAGAAACCAAATTCAGGTCCTCTGAAAGAGCTACAAGTGCTTTTGACCAATGAGCCATCTCTCCAGCTACTGCCACTGGGCTTTAGTTTTGTTTTGTCTTTTTAACTTACATTTGTGTGTGTGTGTGTGTGTGTGTGTGTGTGTGTGTGTGTGTATGTGTGTGTACACATGTGTAGGCCAGAGGACAATTTGCAGGAGTCAGTTCTTTCCTTTCACCACATGGGTCCCTGGAATCACACTCGGGTCATCAGGCTTGGTGGAAAGATCCCTTACCAGCTGAGCAAGATCATCTTGCCAGCCCTGTCCTGGGCCTTGTGTCTATGTAACTGCCTTCACCAGGAAAACGTATCCTGGCCTCACTCCCTCCTCTCTGAATGAACTCCTTCCTTCTAGGCCTCTCAGCAGCATCTGCCCATCTTCTCCACAAAAGCAACAGAGGGTCATTTCAAGAGTCAACTCTACTCTAGGGAGTTCATTTAATCCCTCAGCCTTTAGTTCCTCATATATGAGGCAGCTTTTCTGTGTAGTATCATGGTGGCTAGTGGGGTAAATTAGCTACATCATGCAAAATGATTTACCACATATGTGGCAGATCCAGGAGCTTGGGTAAGAGCTGACGGTCACCCTAGACTTCCAACAACTAGCTGCTGTCCCTAGTACTTAGCAGAGCACTTGGTGCCCAAACAGATCTCAGTGTTGTTAAGAGAATAATAAGAATGTGATTAGGAGCCAGACAGTGGTGGCGCACGCCTTTAATCCCAGCACTTGGGAGGCAGAGGCAGGCGGATTTCTGAGTTTGAGGCCAGCCTGGTCTACAGAGTGAGTTCCAGGACAGCCAGGGCTACACAGAAAAACCCTGTCTCAAAAAAACCAAAATAAAAAAATAAAAAATAAAAAATAAAAATAAAAAAAAGAATGTGATTAGGAACCCTCCTCCCCTGGAAGGCGCTTTTTTGACCCTTCATAGACCTCTCAGCATAGATGCAGGGCATCACAGGAGCCCAAAGTCTGTCTGTAGGCTGTACAAACGAGTTTATTCTTGTGTGTGTGCGCGTGCGCACACGTGTGCACAGCATTTTGGTGAATACAAGTAAGGTTGTTGGAAGCAGGGACAAGCATCTTCCAGCCTCAGGTGACCAGCAACATGGATGGCCAGGACGAGAGCATGGACTTTCAGTGTTTGGTTACTGAAAAGAATCTCCCTGCTTGAAAGGACTGGGAGCCCGCAGCAGCCCTCCCCTGCACGCACTGCTTCTGCAGTACTTGGGCAGAGCAATTCCCCGTGGGAAATGAGCGACTGCTGTGCTGTGTGACAGTGGCTCTATCCTGCGTAGGAAGTGCCATTTGATGTGTGAGGAATTGATTAGGCACCGTCTCTTGGCCCGGCTGTGACAACATCTGAGGAGGTTCAATTCATCACATCGCATCCAGCACTCCCCACCCCAGCCTGGCTGCCTGCAAACACACAAGTCACCCTGGCCACAGATGCTCTTGAGATGCCTGTGCTTTTCATTCTCCCAAGTCAGGGCCAAGTGACAGGTTCCTCACATTGCCCACCCTGAGACAGCAGGCACAGGCTGCAACACTGATGAGTCTTTGTTTGGCTCCCGAGCACAGGTCCACCTGTCTTTTAAGCTCCTGAACTTCCCCTTGGGTCTAATAAGAAATCTGTACTCTGCCGAGACTGTTCTAGGATGGAGGAGGGGAGATTTTCAGAGGACTAAGTTCACCTCTCATTCTCCACAAGAATCCTTTCCCAGGCAGCAAAGAGAGCAGTGTGTTCCTTTTCCTCTCTTTTTGTCTCTCTCGGTTTCTCTGTCTCCTCTCTTTCTCCCTTTCCCTCTCCCTCCTTGCCCCCTCTCTCTCTTGCATTGCTGAAGGATGGAACCCAGGGACTTGTCTGTGCTAAGCAAGCACTGAGCTACACTACCAGCCCCTGACTATAATGTATTTTAATAATTTTGGTAAGAAGTGACCGTGTCTGTCTGTCTGTGTGTGTACATGTGTGCTTATGCATGCATTCACATATGTGCATGTTCACATGCTCATGTTCAGCATATGGTGGGGTGCACATGTGTCTCTGGCCCTGTGTGCACACTGGATGAAGGCAAAGGCCAACCTCAGGCACCGTTCGACTTTTTTTCTCTCACTGGCCTGGAACTCTTCATGTTTGCTAAGCCATTTAGCCAGTGAGTGCTAGTGACCCACTAGTCTCCACCTATCCAGTCCTCTCCTGTGTGTCCACTGGGTCACACTGGACACATGGGGGAGGAGCCTGAGGAGGGCATGCTTGCAGGGTTCTGCAGCTGCGTGCGGAGGCCCCTGGATATATGCCAGTCTGGCTGTACCTCCAGCTGCTCCACCAGCTGCATCTCCAGTATCATGAGTGTGTTGAACAGCTCAGTGATGCTCTCAGTGCACTCTGTCAGCTTCTTCTCAATGTTGGGCAGATCATTCTCTTCCCGGATGGCATTTAAGTTCTACAAACAGAAATCCACACTTGGGGACTTAGTAGTTAATCATGTATGCGATGATTTGGTTTTATGGGTAAAAACTTGGAGACTAGAGATGAAGTGCCAAGTTCGAGTATCAGTCTGCCATGTGCTAGCTCTGAAAGCTTTGGGGATGCTGCCTGCTGCTCTGGTACACTGTATATATACAAAGGTACCTGAAAGTGGCAACCACGAAGAGAGCTCTCAGACCTGCCCTTACCTCCCTGGAAGAAGAAGATGAAATTCCTGTGGGCAAGGTTCTTCCCCAGTGCCAGGAGGAGGGAAGACAATCGTATTGGGAGAGATGGGAGCCAAGGTTGGGAGCAGTCTGTGCAAATCAAGCTTTACACAGGGATTCACAGGGCTGAATAGATGGCTCAGCAGTTAAAAACACTCACTACTCTTCCAAAGGACCTAGGTTCAATTCCCAGCACCCATATGGTAGCTCATAACTAAATCCTGTTCCTGAGACTCTGATGCCCTCTTTTGGCCTCTCTGGGCACCAGACATGCAAGCAGTGCACAGACACACATGCAGGCAAAACACCTGTACACATAAAATAGAAATAAATAATAATAATTATTAACTCATACCAGGCATGATGGCACACGTGTGTAATCTCAGCACTTGTGAGGTAGAGAGAGCAAATGCAAGAGGATCAGGAGTTTGAGACCAGCCTAAGATTTGTAGTTTGGGGCTGGAATGAGACCCTGTGCCAAAACCCCACAAACCAAAACTCAGAAACCATACAAATGAAAAACAAAAGAAAAGAAAAAAAGAAAGAAAATCCTAGAAAGAAGCAAAGTAAATTAAACCTTACCAGCAAATCCCATCTCTACTAACCACCGATGTTCTCAGAGCTTTATACACTTGTCCAGTCTGTGTTCATTGCCACAAAATCATATCTTGGTCAGTGACATATTGCATGGATGACAGTGGCCCCATCAGACAGGGATGCTCAAAAGTTCCAACTACCTAGCAATATCGTGGTGTTCCCACAGTGACAATCACCTAGTGACATACTTCTCAGAACGTATCATCAGCACAAAGTGATGTATTATCATGTAGGAAGCTTCCAGTCCTGCTTTTTGCTGTTGCTGATTTCTTTTGAGATAAGAGTCTCATGTATTCAAGGCTGGCCTTGAACTTATTGTGTAGTCGATGATGACCTTAAACTTTGATCTTCCTGCCTCTGCCTCCCAAGTGCTAAGATTACAGGCCTGGACTACTACACCTGCTTTATGTAGTATACCTATATAAGGACAGGTAAACTTGTGAAATAAAAGTTGCACACGCATCATTGGGCTTGAAGACCAGGTGTGTACAAGGTCTAATGGGGTAGATGGATAGGAAGAACACAGGACCAATCGGTAGGAGTGTGGCTGTGAGGGGACAAACTTGGAGCCCTCAGAGCCATGTGTTCTGGAAATTTCTACAATGTGGCTTCAACTTAGGCTGAGCATTGGAGGCACCTGGGAAGCTCAGGAATTCCCAAAGTTAGATCATACCCCAGCACCCTGAGTGTGTGCACCTGGGCCTAGGATGAGCTATTTCTAGGACAGCTTCTGGTGGACTGAGATACAGGTGGGGTGCTCTGAGTCGGGCTTAGTGGGGTATATGACCTGCCTCTCCAGAGGGACTTGTTTCTAGGGTGAGTCAGGCCCCAACCTGGTCTTCAGAAGGTGCAGATGGATGGCATATAGGCCTCCCAAACCTAATGTATCTAGGGGCCAGGGAAGAAATGCCAGGAAAGAAGTGGGTGGACAAGAACTGGGGACTTGTTCAGTCCAGAGACGGCAATCCTAATGACAAGTGCCTCCAGATAAGCTGGAAATCACACATTGTCTTTCTGTGAAATTTTCTGTTTCCACTGTGTGTGTGTGTGTGTGTGTGTGTGTGTGTGAGAGAGAGAGA